AAAATCTCTTAATACTGAATGACTGTCTGGAGCAAATAGATTTCCACTGTAATGAAACCCCCTTTTAAGATATCCATTATATTTCCTATTCCAATTTTCTTTTGTTGTTGTTTTTTCCAGGACCACAGTGTACTTAGCATAGCATATGTAGCTTCAACAGCTGATAACTATCTTGAGTCTGTTACTGTCATTTTTCTGAGTTTTAATCCTCACATTGGTACCTGTACTATAATTGCATGGTTTGTGAACCACTTTTCATCCCTAACCCACTCTTATGAAACAGCTGCTAGATAGAACATGCAGGGAAGTGGAGCTGAGAAGATGGATGGGCTGTTGTTGGTCAGACTGACTGGGGAGGAGCCTGTGGTGCTTTTACAGAGGTAGGCTGCAGTGGGCTGCACATTGAAAATTAACAGCATAGAGGATGTGCAAAAATATTTTATCAATCTCAAAATCATAATGACTATGCTGTTTGATAGCTATAGAAACGTACCCATCATTCAGTTATGAATCAACTCATAAAATAGTCTGGGAGCTTTCACTTTTCAAGGATATCCAGCAAGATCAGATAAAACAACAAAAAGGGTGACTGGGAAGGATTTGAGTGCTATTCAAATTGTGCAAAAAGTTTGAAAGGATACATATAGTAGCAATGCTGTATTGTTTAAATTTAAAGAAACTGGACTCGCAATACCAAAAGATTTGGTCTGGCTGTTTGCCATATAAATCAGCACATAGTCATCCTGGAAAGGAAATCCAAAGGACATATAGGCTTGTCATAATCATCCTAGTAGAGATGTGATCTTTTAAATGCATCCATTTGAATAGTTGTTGTACATGAACTTAGACCTTAAAAAAAGAAGACAGGAAGAAAAATGACTTTTTTGAGTTGTGCTGGACAAGGTCGTGCATATTCCTTGGATAGCAAAGGTGACTGACAAGCAAGTACTGGAGTGCATAATACCAGACACTGGAAGGCAAAATCACAAAACTGCATCTCACTTGGCCATGTCATGTGGAGGAATTCACTGGAGAAAGCGATAATGCTTGAAAGAATTAGTGGTAAAAGGAAACCAGGCCGCGAAAGAACACAGTGGCTTGGCACCATCAAAGCTGACACCAGTCAGAGCATAAAAAACCTCAAAAAAGTAGTACAAGGTCAGAAGATGTGGAGAGACCTGGGCCATAGAATTTCCAAGAGTCAGACACGATTGAATGGATACCATCAACGTTATCGTCATCATCATCATCATCATCATCATCATCATCATCACCACCACCTTATTTAGAGATGTCTTTGAGGATTACCGGAAGGTACAATTAATACAGAATGCAGTAAATTACTTCTTAGCAGATGAGAGCTGCTTCTGCAGTAGAAAAACAGTTTAGGGGGTCCTACTTTGGTGGATGGAATGAGGTTTTGGAGGCAAGTCTTGTTGCTGCTGCCTTTTTATATGGTAGGGTATAGATGCAAAAATGAATGAATATTCAGGATTATCCTTCTCATCTACTTTAGAATTTGGGGATAATTATTTTCATTTCATTATTTGCATTTTGTTTTATGATAAATATTTCTAGGCAACAATAAATGTGATGTGATCCTGAGAAAGATATACAAAGCAGTCATTTCAACATAATACTACAGATTAAGAATGTAATTCTAGAATCAACAATATAAGAAATTTATAATGATAAACAGTAACTTTTTATTTACAGTAATTAAGTTCACTATGTAAAGGGTCTCCATCCTTGGCAACTTTAATTCTGGGAGTTGTGGACTTTAACTCCCAGAATTCCCTACCAAGCATGGCTGGCTGGGGAATTCTGGGAGTTGAAGCTCACAAATCTTAAAGTTGCCAAGGTTGGAGACCCCTGCACTATGAAACTTCTAGCCCTGTTTTACTCAGACTTACCTTTGTCCTATCTTGAGTGGACACAATTGAGGAACCCTAATAGAACCTTATCTCTTTTCAGAGAATAGTCTATTCCCTATTTTAAGGGAACAATAAAGTATTATATAAAATTTAAAAATAAATAATTGAAAGCATTGGGGAAAATAAAAAAGGTTCTTCCTTGGCATTATAATAATATTGAAGTAGGTGCTAGAATACCTTCTTGTGGCAAGAGAATAATCACATGTTGTATCTCAGATGGTTGAGAAACCTGGAAAATCATAGTGAAGATCATAGTGTGAAGATATCTGGCCAATCCTTCAGATATTTGTTTTCAAGCCATATTAGAGGATTTTGAAATCAAAACCACTGCCTGGGATTGGATGAACAATAGATGCTCCATGCTAATGGACTGTAAATGTTTCTTTACAGGCAGCTGCTTCGGCCTTTCTTTGAGGTCAACCTTAGCATGTGATTATTCTGCTGTTTATCTTGAGGTTTCCAAACAATATGTTTGCATTCCTTCTTTTCTTCTGCAATATCAAACACTTAAATATTTATTTGTAGCCCACCTTTATTGTTGTCTGTAAGATTGTAGAATTTCCTCTTAACATATCTGCTGTTTTCCTTATTCCCTTTTTTTTGTCTATTTCTTGCTAGTCAAAATACAGTAAAAATTTTCTTTCCCTTCTTAATGCATTATAACTTTACTGATTATTACAGTAGTAATTATTAATGCAGTTGTATACAGAGATACCTACCTACTAGGAAGAGAAGGGGGGGAAGGAAGGAGGGAAGAACAAGGAGGAGGGAAGCCCTATGCAGTTTTCCTGCTCAAGCAACATCCCCGTAAGTCCTCCCCAACCCAGACTTCTCCCCCCCCGCCTTCTCCAATTCATGCAGCACCTTTTGTGCATCCCTTTGCACCCTCCCCAGCCCATGCGCCCCCCCCCCAACGAGCCTTCCCTGATATACATGGCACTTCTTATACACCCCAGGCACTTTTTCTGATCCAGCGTGCCCTCCTTGACAAATGCAGCATTTTTCACAACACCCTGATCCTCACTGTTGCCTCACATACCCTCCTCGACCCATGCTGCTCTCCCCATCGTACCATTCCTGACCACATGGCACCTCTTACACAGTCCCAAACACACCAGAGAAAATATTTCTGAAATGATGACTTAGCATGGGTATTCTAGTTATATTTAAATTTTAAGAGATTATATATCCCATATATAAATATTATAGTTAGATTTAGGACAATTGTATATATATACAGTCTGAAGACAACCTTAAATAATAGGATAATGATTCCTTTTTTACTGCTCGGGATGAAACTGAATCCTCCTGCATTTTCTGTTCCTCAGCTTAGCTCTGCGGTCATTTAGTTCTTTATACTAAAATTGTCCATAAATCTGGGCACCATCTGTCATAGTTATTTGTGTAATCTCTTAGCATGTTACCTTAAAGCTAGACTGATGTAGAGTTAACTGCAAGACTGTACCTTGTACACTTTGCCTAGTGCTTTCTCTGTGTAATCTAGTGCCTAATCCCTGTTTTTAGAATAAAGATATTTTCTTTCTTAGATCATATTCCTGCTTCTGTTGCCACCTCCCCCACCCCAACCACCTCTGGCAACCTATCTCATGACCCAGATTTCTGAGGACATTATAAAACTCACTTTTTCTTACTTATGTAGCAACTTCGTGTTATAATGAGATCAGGGCTATACTACTTCACAATTTAGGTTTACAGGCCATATGGTTAAATGTTTTTGATTTCAAGATAGAAAATAAATAGATGATCCAGGTCAGTTTCTTTATTTTTTTCCCTTTTGATTTTTAAAACATCAACTGATTTCTCCAGTGAGACATCATTTTTCATGTCAACCTTGTAGCCTGTAATTTGTAGATCTAATTTCAATGCTATCTCTATCTTCTCAAATAATACTTGTTTCTCATTTGCCATTTCTTCCCTAATGTCTTTTGGATACATTTCATCCATAAAAGTAAACATCGCTAGTAACGTTATTGATTTTCAATTCCTTTTTTCAAATGCATTTTTCAATATTTTCAATATTATAATGTTTTGCATCATTTTATAAGTCCAGTTAATTAGCTGTTAATCAGGTTTAGGTATTTTTCTCCTTTAACTAAAATCTTTAGTTCCCTATAGTGACCAATTTTTAAAATTACTTTTCTTTACAAAAGTCCAAATAAATATACTAACCACAAGAAGGATTTTTTTATAATTCATTCCAAAATCTTATTCCAAATTTATCTGATCCCTTAATCTATTTGTACCTTTCTGAGATCAAAGGCCTGTTTAGCTTTTTGCTGTTTATTTCAGTTTTTTAAAAAAATATTTTTATTAAGGATTGAAAGAAAACCTATCCAATGTTTTCAGACTTGTGGATCTGAAGGTCTCTAGCAGCTTAAAAGTAATTAATAAGCAATTTCCAAACATGATTAGGAAAGGAAATTTGCAAAGTTAGTGTCTTTTAAAAGGCACCAATAATAGTTATGAGCAAGATGACTACTCCTGTCATCTCCCAGTACTCAAACACTTCCAGTGATAGCTGTAGCCCCCAGATGAAGAGCATCTGTTTAGAGTGTTTGTGGGCAACTATCTGGCTTTTCCTTGTTGGAGAAGGTTCCAAAGAACTGGTATACTCATCAGCCCTTTGTTATTCAGTGGGGTTGTTGGCTCCGCTTTTCACAGAACCATGTTCACCGTTTCTTCCTCCAGTAGTACATAACTGCTTACATTCTGAAGTGATACAATATATGTTTACAACATCATTATATATCTGATTAGCTTCTCCTACCTTCTATCATAGGTGTACTGAGAATTACGTTTCTGTTTCTTATACTAATAATGAGCCAGGTTTGTTTGTAAGTGCTGTATGACATCTCTCTTTTCAAAAATACACAAGTTCTCAAAAATACACAAATGCTAAACAAACGGCAAACAGTGAACTTGCTGTGTTTATTTCTACAGCTTATTCCAAAATAAAACTGAACTTCAAAAATTAAAGTCATTTTGTTTTCATGTTGTTTAGCTCTTCATTGTTGATCCTTTGTCTCTGATTTTTTCTTTCAGATTATGCAAGCTGCAAGATGTCCCACAGATGAACTCTCCTTAACCAATTGTGCTGTGGTCAATGAAAAGGACTTTCAATCTGGCTTGTAAGTTCGATAGGTCTCTTTTTAGAGAAAATTGGAGAAATAGGCTTTCTTCAGTCTGTTGTTTTCCAAAGTCATACATAATCATTTTTGCAAATTATGTGACTATTATTAGCAATGTGCTAAATGAGTTCAGACACCTATATATATATTGTTAATAAAACATCAGCTTTGTAAATTACGTTTTGTTTGGCATTAGGAATTTTTATGTGGAGAGGGAAAAATAAATGATGCATTATCCCTGATATTTGGGGTATAGAAACTACTTGTTGGTTGCACAAACTAAAGATTGTTAGTCACATTTTCATATTACTGAAGAAAATTAATATTGATTAATTTTTCATCCTTTCCATCTTAACTGTCAAAGAAGATATGAGAGCCAATTTTGTCTAGTGTTGGAAAAATCTGAATTGGAGTCCTGTCTAAGGCATGAAACTCATCTGGATAACCTGGGGTTAGCCACTGGCTTTCAGCCCTAGAAATAAAGAAATAGCAAAAAGCCTCAAGAGATATCAAGGTCTTGCATATGCAGTTTGCCAGAAGTCAAGTCTACTTTAAGACAACAACAACAAAATCATAGTGACTTCATTTGTTTAGATTGGCTTAAACCAAAAGTATATAGAGTTATGTATGTATATGAATTTCTTAAATATTAAGTAAACCAAGGTGTATGATGCAATTGCCATCTGGAAGTTTCATTATCAACCTGTAGGAAAGACTGTTTCTGGAAAATCATTTTGAAGTTTTTTTTAAAAAAAGGATCTTCCCGATGCTTTGGCTTCTTTTAGCATTTTATTATGCTCAGCCAGTGGTGGGATTCAAATATGTGAACAACCGGTTCTCTGTGTGGATGCCGCTTCCAGAAGTTCTGAGCCTGGGCAACAAAAAATTAGCTACCAGTTCTGCTGGAGTGGTGCAAACTGGCTGAATCCTACCACTGTGCTCAGCGTTTTTCTATCCAGTAATCAGAAATTATTTCGTTAAAAAAAATCTCAAAAAAATACTGTACTATATTTAATGCAAAGCATAATTTTGAATATTAGACTGCAGTTATTTCATAGAACAGATAGTTTGAGATGACTCAGATATTGAAAGATTTTAATTATTTATCTTTTGCACCTCTTATTCCTCTTCTCCTAAACTCTTTATAGGCATGTAGTTGTGAAGACCTCACCCAATCACAAATATGTTTTTACACTGAGAAGTCATATATCTGTTGTCCCAGGTAGCATTGCTTTCAGTTTGCCACAGGTATGTCTTTGATTTTTTTAAATTTCCTTTTTAATCCCAGATGCAGGCAATATTGCTATTGAAAGTAATTATTTTCAGCAAAAATTGAAATTGCAATGGCTCAAAATAAAATAATGCCTCCTAGAAATCCTGTGAATACAAAAGCAAATGATTCAGTTCTAGTAAAGCACTTTTTACTGATAAAATATTAGGAAAATTGGGTTGTTTGAGGACAGAGACTTATGAAGGATTCCTGTTGCTTTGTGAAATACAATATAGGCAATCAGGCAGCTGAATTGATGACCTCTGTGGCTAGGATATAACTAGGATGAGTTAGCATTGCTGTTGCAGAATAAGCATTTTTATGCTGTCTGTACAGTTCCAATATTGAAAAAAAATCTGTATAATCTCATAACTTCAGCTTCTTGCACCAACACCTTTCAATTGTAGCTTCACACCACTATTTAGCAACAAAAGTTCAGAAAATGTGACTAATCTTTGCGGCTTCCCTGATTCCCCTGTGGTGTTAGCTAACAGTTTGGACTTGTGAATGAAGAACAGCGTAGCCTTGAGTGTATGTGAGTGAATAGGAGTCATTCTAATAAAATAGCAAAGAAAAAGTCACCTGCTGAGCTACAAAATAAGATTTTACTTCCATTCTTTTGTTTAATAGAGCTACAATCAGACGAAAAAAGGTATACCCTCTTTGAGTTCTATGGTTTTACGTATCAGGATATAGTAAAAATCATCTAGTCCTTAGCAGTTCTTAAAAGTAGGTAGATACTAAATGTGTTAGGGTCACAGCAGCTAGAACTCCTATGTAGCATAGTTAATATTTAGAACATTGGAGGGTACCAGTCTAAGGAAGGCTGCTCTTAGATCAGAGGTAGATAAAGTGTGGCCTTCAGTCATTCAATAACAACCTCTGCCCAAAGCATGATTACTAGAAAAAGAAAGCACAAAATTATTTGCTGTTCATTTTTGAAAATATAAAACCACCTTTTAAAGTCAAGTTTGTTTTTGCCTCTAAGCAAAATACACAAATGGAGTAGAAAACAGGAAAGATTACTTAAAGAAATCTTGGTAAATACAAAGCTGGAGATAATTTAATGTGTTGGCAGGTCATGCATCTATGGAGAATAAAGTCCCAATCTGTGTGAGAAAGGAGTAATGTAATTAAAGTAGGGGATCTAACTTGTAAGCGTGTGAACAGGTCAAAGCATAAGGCCTACTTGCTTGTCCCTTCATTGGTGTCATGCTTTTGCCTTTTACTGAATTCAGGCAAAAATTGTTCTAGCTGTTGGGGGGCTTTATATATGTAATGCTCAATTGTGTTCCAAGTAGCTATTTATCTATTTGTTTGTTTATTACTTAATTCTCTTTTATGCTGCTGACTCCAAATGACTTTAGGCAATTCACAATATGCCAGAAAAATAAAACAATGTAATAAGAATTGACAACAAAACCAAATTAGAAAAAAAGAAGTGGAAATAGATGTAGAACCTGGAAGACATCACAGATATCTCTCTATCTCACTTCAAAGAAGGGGCTTTCAGTCACATTAACTCTGGGAGAACAATCAGGTCCCCTGGAACACTAATAGGGTGGGAGCCATCTGGATTTTGGGATTCTTCATTCCATAGCCATGACGATGGTAATGATAGCAGTACTATCTGGTTATTCTCCTAATAACTATGTACAGTATAATAGGCCAATAATGGCATGTTGCCTGTAGGGGATAAAGCAATCTAGAATGTGCAAGTATGTTTTAGCATGACATGAATTTTACTGTGTGTATGGCTGCTGCACAAAAATTATTCATTGTAACTTTAGACATATATTTTCCTTTGTGAATATATGTGTCCATTTAATGTAGGTAAATGTTCTTTTTCTTGTGTGCATTTTTTCTCTATAGAGAAAATGGGCTGGCCTTTCTATTGGGCAAGAAATCGATGGTAAGTTTTTACTATAAATTAGTACATTGTTTGACCTAATCTAATTGAAACTTGTCTTTTTTCCAAAGCCTTTTATATTGGAATGAATTCTGTTACAGTGCAGTTTTTTTTAAATCCTCTTTTTGCTATTTGGTATTATCTACATGAAATACTGTGCTGGGATAATTACACTGATCTTTAAATGTCTGCTTTATTGTTATTATTAATTCTCATCTCTAAATAAAAGCTTTATGTAAGATATTTAAAAATTAATGATAATAAGCATAAAACAAGCAGATCAAAAGAGAGAAGAGCCAAGCAAATAGATACATCAGAAAAGAGAAATGGGGAAAATGCATTTTATTTTATTAAATAATCAAATGATAAAAGAGGAAATAAAATATCCTTTTGGATGAAGTTAGAAATGAATTGGTGAAAAACTTATCAACTGTAAATAGTTACCTATATCAGGGATTTTCAACCTTTTCACAGATTGTACCACTTTTAGAACATGACAATATTTGAGTACCACCAGTGCTTAGCAAGGTGTCAAAAACTTGACTAAAAAGGGGGGGAGATTTTGGGTTTTATTGATTAGATTAATTTGTTGTTATAAAAATGGCTAGTTTATAATATTATGGAAAAGTAAAAAGTTGAGGTTCAATGTTAATGCTTCCTTCTACTGCAACAGAGGAAGTCTGTTCTTTTTCCCTTCTCCCCCTCACTTTCCCCCCCTTTTTCCTCCCCACTGTGTCCTACTATTTGCTTTTGTATTTTTATATTTTATCCTATAATCAAATAAAATATTACAAACTGTAGAAAAAAAGGAAACAAGTACCAGTTTTAATTTCTTTGGTGGCTGTTCCTGTGCTGAATCACTTTCCCTTTGCACTGACAAATGTATGATGAATTTATCCATGTTTATTAATATGCACCACTACTAGCTAGCTCAGGGTTCTTCAAACTTGGCACTTTTAAGACTTGTGGACTTCAAATCCCAGAATTCCTCAACCATCATGGCTGGTTGAGGAATTCTGGGAGTTAAAGTCCACAGGTCTTGAAGTTGCTAAGTTTGTAGACTCCTGAGCTAGCTGGTCAGCCGTTCTTCCTCTCTCCCTTCTGAGCTCTCCTTCCAGTGAAGTAAGAATGCACCCCCCAATCCCTTCCCTGTACCCTTAAAGACACAGGAATCAAGTGCAAAGCAAGAAAGGCTCACAAAATAAAGAAACACATAAACTCTGGGGGGTTTTTTCTTTGAGCTGCCTCAGGCGTGTCACCTGTCACAGTGTTGCATCTCGAGACTGAAAGGCTCCGGCAATTGCAAAAAGCTTAGCCTTAAATTAAGCCTGTTTACCTTCAAAGAAAACTTTCTAAAAGCCATAGACAGACTCAAGATAAGGGGGTAAAACTAATTACATTTATTTAAAGGGATTAAACCTACGAAAGGCAGCACTTTGGATTCATTGTTAGACTAAAATACAGACTAAAATATTCCAATAACCAAAGCATACAAATTGAGCCTCTGAATTACAAAACGCTGTAAAAACTGTATAAAAATCCTTATGGTAACCCAGCTGATCCAGAACTAAATAAACCCATCTCCTTTCCAACATGCTCGTCTGCCGTCTTTTCATTTCATCAGCGCTGATTGCATTCTCCTGGCTGGAGAAAACGAACCAGAGGACCTTTCCAGCAACAGTTGCTGCTTCTTCCCTGTCCCCGTTTCATCCCTGCCTGCTGAGCTCTCCTTCTCTTTCTCTGTTGTCTTTTTTTTCCCCTTTCCCGCCCAAACCACTTCCTTTTATAGCCTCTCCTCTCCTCCCCCCCTTTTCTTCAGTTCACCTCCAGCTCTGCACTGCTTCCGGAAGTGCTAATCAGCTGGAGCCAGTCAGCTGGAGCCCTACTGGCTCCTGGAGCTTCTGCTGAGCCCAGACAGTCCTGCAGCTGCATCTGCATCTGCCTCTCCTTCAGGCTTGGGTCGCTTCAGTTCATTCCCCACCCCCACTACGCTTCTCTTGGACGGTCGCATACCATCTGCCACATGGTAAAATACCACAGGTGGTATGTGTACCACCGGCTGAAAAGCCCTGACCTATATGATCTTACATTTGCATACATGCGTTTTGCTTATTCCTACAGTGGTATTTCATGGAAATTCATCCCGGTCTCTCAAAAGGGATGTTAGCAATGAGATTCTTGTCTGTATTTTCAGTGTGCTAATATTTTCTTGAGTGCGTGTCTGATGCTTTATAACTGCAGTTAGTTATAATTCTGTGGAAAGCAAGCTTGTAGGAAGATAAGGATTCTACTGTTCAATCTTACACAGTAAAAATTCATGTTTTTATTGCTCAGTAATATAAGAAAACAAATAAATAAACTCTTCAAGCATCCTAAATTGCTTTTGATGATTTAGACAAAACTGTATAGCCATTACTGCATATATTGCCTGCAGCTACATTAACTGCATATATTGCCTCTTTGCATCTGTTAAATCTAACATTACCCTCACAGATGTATTCTCTTTTCAGTTAAAGGTGTTTGTTTCTCAGCTTTTTTATCAGAAAATCTCGTATAGGGAGTGTGGAAATATTTTTTTACAAAACAGATACTTACAAAACAGGTAGGCTAATTAGTGATTGCAATGGTATAATTCCCACCTGTATCTAAATTTGGAGGTTGTTTCCTACGTTTGAATATATTAAGTTGATGCATGGAAATATACACTTTGGTGTGGCATATTCTAATTTCTGCCACTGTCACTTTTTTCATTTTTGGTGACTGTAATTCAGGGCATAGCTATACAGATATACCCAGTCCTTACTTTTAAAGGCTTTGATAAGTTTTGTGGAATGCAATAAAACTGATTTCAATTCAGACAAGAAGAGAGATACTTAACTTTTGCTTCCGTTATCAAAGTTACTAGAAAATGAATTCTACTCTCTGCAATATTGTTTGAATCCCTGATACATGCAGTGGTTAAATCCAAATTCTTATACAGGAAATTAAATCAGTTGCATTTGAGGAAATGTGTTGACGACAACACTTTTTTTTTTTTTTGGTCTTTGAAGTGGGAGGCTTGATTCTCTGATATTTGTATAGGAACTTGCCCATTCATGGGAGGCTAGAGGAGATATTGTATCTATCCATGCTTAGCAGTATATTTCCATTCCTCCTTTTTTTGTAATAGCAATTTCTTAATGTAAAATAAAACCACATTATTGCAAAAGCTAGAAAGATTTTAATATGCTTTCATAACTGATTAGGACTTATACATTTTGATTATTATGTAATGAATGCTTCTTGATTAAATGTGATAATTATAAATAAATAGGCAAGATATGGATGCGGAATGACAAGAGTTATCCTCAGGATAAAGAATCTGAAGGTCAGAGATAAAAATGGAGGCTAGATTATAAATAGTAGAAACAGAATTGTCAGAGAAAGTATTTAAAGTTCGAGGAATTCCAGGATATTTTGAAAAGACATAATTTAGAAAGAGAAGTGGAACATCTGTTTAAAAAATAGATTGTTCTAGATGATAATGATGATAATTTAAACTTGTATGATATTTCTCAATGATTCTGAATGAAGATGAATTATCATAAATTTGAGAAATCTACAGAATAAACTCATGGACAATATATAGAAGAAACTTACCAAGTGTATATTCATTAAAGGAAATGCTGGTGCAATGCTGACTTTAAAAAGGTGTAGCATTCTTTAAAGCTTGGACATATAAGAGATTTTATCAGATATCATTGGATAGAAGGCGAAGAGATATGAGATTTTTGACAACCCCAAGAAAGATAGAGAACAAATGCAAATGGGCTTCTCAGTTTCATCTGAAGGTTTTTACAAATTGTAGCAATAATAGAAGACATTAATAAAATACTTATATCACTAACAGCAACAGAGTAAGCTGAAGAAATTCAGATAGATCAAATACTGGATCAAGCAGTAGCTGTTCGTTCATAAATGTAATTAATAGCCGACACCATGGATTAAATCAAAATATTCTCAACAAATATTAATGAACTTAAAAAAATGAAAGTAAAAGGGAAGATATTGTTTGGAAATTAAAAAAAGAAACCACAGATACATATCTAATAAAGGTGTATATTTAAAAAAAAGACAATGCTAATTTGCTTGAATATAAAGAGATCAAAAATTTGTGGGCCATAGACAGGAAAAAACGCACTGAATCAGAAACGTAACAGGGAATTTGGAAAATACATGCATACTGAAACAGATAGGTCACATTGAACAAGGAAAAATTGCAATTGCTTCAATTTATGCTTGAAAAAATAATGAAGCAAAATCCTATGAAAATTACAGTGAGACACATGCAGATTCTTGGAGATATTAATATTTCTCTTAAAATATTTATAACTGGTTCTTACAAAAGGAATTGTATGAACAAGAAAAGTATTCTAGACTAGGGGTTCCCAACTCCTGGTCCATAGCATGCCAGAAACCAGGCCACGTAAACAAGCGAAGCCCCATTCGTGGGATGTAGGCAACATGCAGATCCATCACCACCCCAGTCCTTGGAAAAATCTCTCTCCACGGTCCCTGGTGCCCAAAAGGTTGGGGCTGCTGTTCTAGACTACATGTCTTTGCAATTTTCTCTTAGATACATGGAGACTTAAATATCCTTTAGAAAAATAATCCATCTATTTGTTTGTTCATAAGACTTAATTCAAAATTGATATTTGTTGGTCTTAGTGACAAAAAGCATTTTATCTTTTTTATTGATAAATTTATAAAAATATCCAAATTTATTCAGAAATAATTACTCACAAACATATGACAGGAATCATAAGAGAAAAAAATTAAATTTGTCCTGGTTAGAAAGAATATCAACGGTAAAATGAACATTTTACCTAGGATCAATGTTTTATTTCAAATATTACGAATAAGAGTTGAAAAATAGATAAAGTGACAAATAACTCTTATTTGTTAAGCAAAAAAATTGAGGATTAAATTTAGAATGCAAGATGTGAAAGAAAAATATGGACTGT